TAGTGGTTGGGACAACGCATGCAGGGTAGCGTCTTCTTAAGTTTTTTCTTAAATCGTCATTTAATTCGTCAGTGTATGAAACAAATTTTTTGCTTGGAAAGCAGGAAATTCAATAAAAATACAATTTATATTTAAATCCGCGCCCTACTCATAAATATTAATTTCTGATGATGCATTGATGCCGAGGGGGGCAGACAATCAGCTGAACCAAAATCTAAAATCTTAAACACCTAAAATGAACAATTTAAAACAAATTTAACAAAAATAAACACTTATATGCGTTATGTTATGAAAATTACAAAATACTTATAATTTATATTTATACCAATTTTATTATAAATATATTATAACAAATTATTTTGAACAGTGACCTACCGGGAAAGTTAACTAACTTAGTGCGCTCTCTATAATATTAATATAATATAATATCATTATATTAATATAGCATTATGGTATATTAATATTCCACTCCTGTTATAGAGCGCTGCAGAATTGTTCTTATTATGTGACAACTATTCCATGGTCGTTGGGGAACCATTATTATCTTTAATCGTGCCCGACAGTAATATTTATAGAAAATAAACTAAAAAAAAATCAAAACGTCTATAAATCTCCTAATACGAGTCGAAATATTTTGAATATTTTATCATGTATATAAAATGAAGAAATAACCATTTGCTACAAATTGCAAGTACATTTTTAACATGTAGGTACACACTAAAAAGGTTCCATACAAAAACTAAAAGATGTAATTTAAAAAGTAGATTATAGATATAATTTTACTGATATAATGCAATATAATTAACTTTATAGCTTATTTTTTTATTTGAAAATAGTCAGTATAAATTATAAAATAAAATTTTTACCAAATAGGTATTCAAAAAAACAAAAATATTTAAAACAATACACGTGTCATCATAATTTATACAAAAATATGTTCGTATTACTATTAAAAATGAGTACTTCTGTAAGATGATTAATGACAATGATGTGGTCTATCGACAACAATTCCACCATAAATTTGTACTCCATTTCTTGACAATCTCTCTATTATTAAATTTTTAAGCTTTTGTACAAAACAAATACAATTTTATTGATATTTATAAAAAAAAAAAAACTAAAAAAATGAAAACTGAAAATGTGTTTAAAGAGCTCAAAATAAGTAAAAATATTTTATGTAATTTTCATGTATCTACAGTTATTCGTTTTTGAATTACAACAAAATAAGGAATTAGCTACATGAGAAATCGAGTGAATATAAAATGTTGTAAAAATTTGAATTTCAAAAGCTCATAAAAATTTAATTTGACTTTCTTATAGACATTTTTTTTTTATAAAGGTAGATAATCTTACAAGAAATCTTGTATTCAATTTTAAAATCTTATATTTAAAAAGAAAATTTTTTACGAATTCTTCACCCAAAATAATTTGCTATTGGTCGTGATTTGTCCATATTTTGTCAATTTTTGAACTTTAAATGCTTATAAAAAAAAACTGCGACCAAGGCTTTTAAGTATTTTCATCTGCCTTTGAAACAATGTGCTATGAGCCTTCTATTATATTTTCAAGCTTTTTTAAATAACAAATACAATTTTATTGATATTTTTAAAAAAAAAAACTATAAAAAACGCAAATATAAACAACCAGTGAAAATTTCATGTATCTACGGTCATTTGTTTTAAAGATACACCAAAAACCAAATTCAATTTTGTGAAAAATCGATTTTGGGTAAGAATTCCTGTTTTTCCTTAATTTATCTTTTGTTTTTCTTGGCGCTTTAGAAAATTAATGGGAATTATAAATTTTGGCCTCCCCAGTGCGATTTTCAATTTCCAATCGAACAAAATACTGAAGTTGAAAATCAAAGCATTATTTCGACTACTCATCGTGTACCTACACAGACACAAAAAAAAAAACACATTGCAAAATCAATACATTCATTGTTTCATTTATGGAAATTAAATAATGTTTTTTTTTTCTTATGTTATAATATAATAATGTGTACCTACAGACTACAGTTAAACTTTCATATTAGTACCTAACTATTACTAAGTCTCATGGCTTCACGGGCATAAAAAAATCTGCATAGAATTTTGTAAAATACATTTGGTTCTAATTTGGTATGATTCTAAAAAAAATTTATTCAACAATTTTGTTAATTGAAAATTGAAATAGTTTGTCATATGGAAGTTTCACTGTAACTGTAGGTAGTTATAATAGAAACATGTAATTACAGTGGACATTTATTAAGGACTATCATAAGTATTTTACTAACTACCCATAGGTATCTCTTTCCATGTTGATAAATTGATGTGTCCAATAGTCTATCTTGAATCATGATAGTTGAGCGTGATCATGATTTTTAATTATTATTTAAGATAATCACAAGATTCGGGGTGCTACCTAGCATTAAAATTCAAGGTGCTAAGCAGTAAGCACCCTTAGCACAATTGTCATTTGCGCCAAATACCAATGATAATAGGTCAAGTCGCTCTTATATTAAACATAGGTACTTACTCAGTACAGGTTAAATATATTTAATTATAGATTATTCAGAACATATAATCTGCTACAAAGAGACAACGTACCTATGCTGGGTAGTCTGGTCAGCCGGTGCGTACCGATGACGATTAGGTATAAAATGTATAATAAATGTATTAATTATTATGGTATAATAATACCAACCCGCACGGCCGCACTCTTCTCAACCACCCACTCAACATCAAAGAAGCTCTAAAAAATGAAGAGCATACTTTAAAAACTATCGAATTCATCACCAAAGACAACCTTATCAACAAAATATAGTTCCGATATAAATTAAATTGTAAATCTATTTAAACAAATATTGTATTTTGGTACTTTTCTGTTATCCCTACTACCGCTCGATGTCGCGACCACGGCTTTAGATAGAATGGTTGCACAACAAGTCATTATTTTGTGATCACCAATTGTTCTTATCAGATATCTGTTAAAAGTTACGTTACACCGCTATCTAGTTGCTTACATATACATCATCAAAATTGTAATCTTATTTTATATTGTTGTATTCAAAAAGTACTAATTAGTATAATCCGATAATCCATTAGAGGTTCAAACTCATCAAATTATGAAATTAAAAATACAAAGAATAGGCTATCCACTAGGTATGTCAACATTTTTAATTACAAATATCAAACTATTAAAATTAAGTGTGAATTAACAAAAAACATCAACAAAATAACTGCTATGAAGATCCATCAATGTTATGCATGGTCACTTCACAATACACAATAACCCCGTCTCAAATTTTTTTTTAAATCCACATAATTTGTGCGTAGTGCCTATTGTAAAAATTAATATTTTTTATTCTAAATATAGGTATATATATATACTGTAATATTATACTTTTTTTGGATTTTACTGGTATAGTTATAATATTCCAAATTCTCTAACAAGCAAAAAGAAAAACATATTAAATTAATATAATATAAATTCAAGACTAAATATATTTTTTTGTTTAATTTATTTCTTAATCCATAAGTATTAACACTTAATTTTAAAAAGGTTAATTTAAGTAGTAACTAATTTTGACAATTTTTTTTTTGAACGATTTAATTTTTTACACTCAATATTTTTAGAGTAGCTATGCTGCCTCATCCGCATAGTTATGAATAAAACAAAAATATTAGAGAATATTTCAATTCTATGTTCGGCACATTCCCATTTCAAATGCAGATTTTCATTTTTGAACAAATCTTCATAAGTATCTTCAAATACATTAATTGAATCTGCATATTTTGAAAAACTGGTTTCTAAAAACTTTATTATTGTGTAAATTTGATGGTTGGGATGTGTTAAAAACCCTCTTGTTTTTAAATTCACTAGATCAGCAGCTGGGTGGATGTTTTGTCCATATTCAATGTTCATTGAATTTATACACAATGAACATTTTGTTTGACTTTTTAATCTTTTTATGATTTAGCTAAAACATAATCATGAATCTTAATAATTATCTTTTTATGTTTAACAACAAAATATAATAAATAAATTAGTTAGTTAATTAGTTTTTGTGTGAATCAGTTAGGTTTTGAATCTAAAATATTGTAATACAATTTATTATTAAATACCTACATGTACTTGACAAATTATTTCATCAATAATAATAAAGTGCTTATAGTGGCTTCACATATATAATAAAACTTTATATCCCAAAACAAATAAACACTAATTTAAAATTTACTATTTGGTAAATATCAATGTGTGGGAACAAATGCACTTTAGCCCAATGTGTGTAATAGCCTCTACAATTTACATACCTATTAGTAAAAGATATAATATCTATCAACAAATTGTAATTGCTTGATTTTTTATTTCATCCTCTTTAGGAACGCCAAAAAGAGTTTTGGACACACAATGTGACTCACGAATTGCACAATAATTAGGCATAATGACCAAAAAGACAATAAACGTAATTGAATATTCACAAAACCAATTATCAAACACAGACTACAGTGATGAGATTTCGTTTACAAAATAATTCATGAACATATTAACATTGTCATATAATTATTATATAGATAGAGCATGAGAGCAGTGATTCGTGATTATAATAATTAAGTTACTTATTAACTCAATTACATTATATTTATATTTATTATTGAAAATTCAATAATTTAATATTATGGCGGGAAATGAGAATATTTTAATCACGGCTTTAGATATTTCTATCTAAAGCCGTGGTTCCAATTAACAACCACCGGGAGCGTTAGTAGTAGTTCACTTTTTCGTATGTTAGATAAGAACTCTCGTACACCGCGTTCTAACATTGTGTAGTATAGCCCGATGTGCAACCATTCTATCTAAAGCCGTGGTCGCGACTACCGCGATTCTCAATTCTGTTATCTCGACTACCACGCCGGTGTCACGATTACCGGACTACAGTTCGCTCGATTGCCGTCGTTGCTGACAGTTGTATTATTTTAAAATAATCCGTCGTTGTATTTATTAATTTTAAAATAATTATGAATCTATGGAATTTACCAAACAGCGAAAAAGATGCTCTCGAATTTTTTCAAGAAAAGGGTTTACTTCCAACACACCGTGATTGCAAAAACGGTCATAAAAAAAAACTGTACATCGGAAAAAATGAAATTTTTTGGAAATGCAACGTCAAAACGTGTCAGCATAAAACCAATATGCGTATGGGTAATTGGTTTGAAAATAGTCGTCTGCCTTTTTTAACCATACTCCGGTTTATATATTGTTGGGGTGCAGAATTAACCTCCGTTAATTTTTGTGAAAGACATTTGGAAATGAATCATTGTACGGTAGTTGATTGGAATAATTACATGCGTGAGGTGTGCACTATAACAATTAGTCGAAATCAACAAACACGAATCGGAGGTACGGGAAAAATTGTTGAAATCGACGAAAGTATGTTTTCAAAAAGAAAGAATAATGCTGGAAGAATATTACCACAACAGTGGATATTTGGAGGAATTTGTCGCGAAACCAAAGAGTCATTTCTAATCCAAGTTCCTAATCGCACCAAGGAAACACTTTCAACCGCGATAAAACAATATATAAAGGTAGGTACAACCATATATTCTGACTGTTGGCGTGGATATGATACAGACGAATTAACCAGAGCTGGATACACGCATGGTACAGTCAATCATACTAATAACTTTGTAGACCCAGTTACTGGGATCCATACTCAGAATATTGAACGTCTTTGGGGCTCCGCTAAATGGAGAAATAAAAAACATAGGGGAACCAGACGCCATCATTTGGATTCTTATCTGGCGGAGTTTATCTGGAGACAAAACATTGGAGGACAAGGAGAACCATTCGAATACATATTAAATTACATATTCTTTTTGTCTTATATTATAATACATTTAAGACTTTTGCAACTGTAACTGTGATAATTTTATTTTGTATTTTGACGCTGTGATAATTTTAGAATTTGTAATTTGATGTTTTGTGATAATTTTATGGTATATACACGATTTAAGATAATTTATATGATTACTGATAATAAACGATGGCAATTCATGTGTATTATGTATTAAAATACGGAAATATTTGGATAGTACTATAGTAGTCGAGATAACAGAATTGAGAAGTCGCGGTAGTCTCGGCACCGGCGTGGTAGTCGAGATAACAGAATTGAGACTCGCGGTAGTAGGGATAACAGAAAAGTACCTGTATTTTTTAATATTGTAATTTACTTTTCTTTTTTTTTGTTAAACTTGAACAAAAATGTTGGCTAATAACCTTTGTAGTTGAAGCCTGTAAACCTTAAATATTATTAATTTTATATACATATATAATTACCATAGAAGATAGAACAATATTACCAAATTATATCGATTCATTGTTACCTATTTATTTTTGTTATTTTAACAATAATATCAACATCACCGTCACTGCGAATGTGCAAAGCCGTCGCACTGTCGAAGCCGTATCGCACGCACACACCCGAGCCGTGCAATGTCGATCGAAAAATACACTCCCGACCGGACTTTTTTGCCGATTTTTTCCTTTTCTCCCACCGTTTCGTCTATTCGCACGCCGTTTGTGCCCGAATCGTGTAGTCGACGTCTTTTTAAAGCCGTTTATATGCGCTTTTCCCCCGAAATCGGTTCGTTCGCCTCGCAATCGCGTTTAGAAATTACGCCGGCCACCGACCGACCTTACACGTATATATACATGTATATACGTGTATAATTTAATTTTTGCCTATGATTTAATAATTATTAACGGAAAACGCTTTTCACACGCCCCGTTCAATATATATATATGGGAGATGCGCATATTACAAGCGAATTATATGCGATTACATCGATGTACATCGAATATATCGGCTTACGTCGCTCCGTAGACGCACGGCTTAAGAGTTGATGTTTTGACCGTAATTCATATCTCATTATCTCAAACTGTGCCCGAGTAGTTTAAGAGGATGTCAGCGCACTATTTGTTTTCTCTCTCTGGCCCACGCGCAGCATAGACAAAACGCATGAACGCAGAATCATTTTTTCTATGTTTTAAGTAATCTTAGAGTAAAATCACCTATTACAAAAAAGATAGAGAATAATATTTTTGAGGGAATGTCATATCGATTTTATATTTTATTGTTATTTGACTTTGTATTCGACTTTCAAAATAAACAAAAAAAGTTGTACATTAAAATGATGTTTAAATTATTTTGACAAATCGATATGACATTCCCTCAAAAATATTATTCTCTATCTTTTTTGTAATGGGTGATTTTACTCTAAGATTACTTAAAAACATAGAAAAAATGTTTCTGCGTAAATGTGTTTTGTCTATGTTGCGCGTGGGCCAGAGAGAGAAAACAAATAGTGCGCTGACATCCCCTTAAGCGTTAGGGAGAAAACATGTAGGTCCCGGGTTCGAATCCGTTATACGCTCGCCGGACGGCGGAACCGATATTGCCATATGGTATACACGGCCGCCCGTAACATGACTTTTTTGCATTTTTTTTTCACGTTATTTTTCATATAAATTAAATAATAATATAATAAAACAGGAACATATCGTACATTATTATTATTTAAAGTCATTGTCATATTATATCACACAATAAATAGGTACATATTATATTTGTTTTATTAGGAATTATTATAATTGCATATTTTTCAAAATTTCCATGATTGTTATATAAATATATTTTGTATTTTATTTCGGATTGCCTACCTAGGTGGCTAACTTGAAAGTTAATCGATTTTGACTTGACATGACTGACTTGCTAGACACTCCAACACGGTTTTCGACTTTACACTTTTTACATAAGATAAAGCACCGGTCATGCTACGGCACGGCTACAACTCATTTGCGCACATTTACCTTTTTTACAACTCATTTGCGCACAAAAACATAACTCATTTGCGCACAATTTACGAACAATAGAAACCTTTTTTCCAAGAATTTTATCCACGTATAGGGTGTACATAATCTCCGTACCACCATATTTTCGATTTGGTCATTACTGAAAGTGGACAATTATTATACTCAAAGAACATTTTCCTTCACCCTTTAAAAGGCTTAGGACTTTCTGTCTCATCATATTCTGATGTTATAGACTGGCGGGTTTAAAAATTTTGTTTTAGCTATTACACATTATTCAAAATTTTGTCAAATTACAATAAATTAGGTACAATCATTTATAATAAATTAATCATAATAAAGATTAAAGCTTGTCCCACACGACTATAGTGTTCTTGGCGAGTATTAATGCCATTTTTGATAGATAAGAACTGATGTGAAATCACGTTATGCTTTAAGACTATATAAGGCTATATTGAAGATACTCCAATAACGGGTGATCATTGATGATTGATATCAATAATATTGAACGTGTAACGTGTTGGACAGCTTAAGACACCCTGTACACCCAAAACTGTACCTAAAAGCTGGTTTTCATTGTTTACTATTTTGTGCGCAAATGAGTTGTCGTAAATTTAAAAAATTTATTAATATGTGCGCAAATGAGTCTCCACCCTACGGCACATACCACTCTATGTGCAGGTATACTCTATATAGGTGATCCTGGAGATCGTATCCAGCGTATCCATTTACAACGTTTGTGACGGATTGCTAGACGCTCAAACTTTTAACATTCCCGCCAAAGCGTTTAGCCTTCTCCAAATCCATATCACAAATCCTAAACTTTCGTCTTACAACCTTTGCGACTTTTATAATTCCAACGACATTGTCTCCAAAATCGGTAGTCGGTACCCACTCTCAGCGAGTCCAACGGGCCCCGGTTACACTTAGAGCTATACTCTTTTCAGAATAAGAAGGAACCAGGCGGCCACGGACAAAACCGGTTTTGTTACTTAAATCTGGTGCGTTCTTATTCTGAAAAGAGTATAGTATACTATAATATTGAATATCTAATTCTATTACTCTAAGGCACCGTCGCACACGGTGACCTTTGGACTCCGTAATTAGATAAACCGTTTCGCCATGCCGCATAGCAGTCCCTTAAATACTAATAATAAATCCGTATCGCCAATTAAAATCATAAATAAGCAACAGGTAGTCGAGCAAAATAAGGCCTCAACGAAATCAAACTAAAGATCCCTACTTACATCACCAACGATGCCAACAATGCCGCTCAATGAAATCGCCAAAAAAACAAACCTATTTGCCTCTCCTAATCGCTACAGCGCCCTCGTCGACGCTGCAGACGATAATGACGACCTACCTGAGTCTCATAGTCAGGAGTCATCTGATACCACTACATATACACCGACGAAAGTGTCATTGCCGCCACCTATTTTTATCAAAGGCATATTAAATTACTCAGACTTACTCTCCAATCTTACGGAACTAACCGGTGGCGGTCGGGCGGTCCTAACAGCTTTGTATGTAAATCGACATCCACCCATTTAAAAGTGCAAGCCGAAAAATCTGATGACTATAGAAAAATAATCCATTTCTTAAATGAAAACGAAGCATCATTCCATACCTACCAGCTTCAATCAGATAAATCTTACAGAGTGGTCATAAGAAATCCCCACCCCTCTACCCCAACTGCAGACATCTCCACGGCAATTGAGGAAATTGGGTTCATATTGTTACCTATTAATATTATGTAGATAGGTAATAGGTACATATCGCATTCTATAATTATCCTAGCTAATAAATATATTATGTTGTAAAAACTGGTACAATATTATAGGGCGTAATATATATTTGCACATTGTTATTTCTGATCTGGTTTATGGTCGCACGCACACACATGCACAAGTCATTAAATTTAATTGTCAAAATATTTGTAACCAATTTATGGACGATGCAAAGTAGACTTGTTGACCAATTAAAAGATCTTTACATTTTTTAAACCAAACCACTGGAAGTACTTTAATTTTTTTCAGTCGCTAGGGTCGTTTTGATGAAAAATTAATAGGGTTCGCATGGGCCTTAATCAATCGCCTTTTGACCATTTTGATAACTCTTCCTATAAGCAATGCAAGTGCTGAGAGAACGTTTTCAACACTACGAAGCCTCAAAACATGGCTGTGATCAACAATGTCAGAGGCCAGTATAACTGGACTTGCTCTTTTAAATATACACCGTGATATTGACGTAGACGTGAATAAAGTCATTGACGTGTTTCCAAAAACCAACAGAAAATCAGATTTTGCTCTATAATTTTTATTTGTATTTCATTTTTAATATTTTTCGATTGTTCTTAAATAAATAGTTTTATTTTCAATGTATCTACCTATATTTAGGTAGAAGAAAAATTAAGGAAAAACGGGAATTTTTACACAAAATCTGTTTTCGAGAAAATAAATTTTGGTTTTTGGTGTAACTTTAAAACAAATGACCGTAGATACATGACATTTTTAGTGGTTGTTAAGGTTGTTTATATTTGCATTTTCCATACAAGATAACATTTTTAAAATATTTTGATTTATTTTGAACTGTTTACGGACATTTTCAGTTTCCAATTTTATTAGTTTTTTTTTTTATGAATATCAATAAAAATTTATTTGTTGAGTAAAAATACTTGAAAATTTAATACAAGGCTCCTACTATATTGTTTCAAAGACAGATGAAAAATATTAAAAATCGTTAGTAACAGTTTTTTTTTTTTTAAGCATTTAAAGTTCAAAAATTGACAAAATATGGAAAAATCACGAAAATTTGTAAATTATTTCGAGTTAGAAATTCATTAAAATTTTTCTTTTTAAATCTAAGAATCTATGAAAATCTATGAAAATGTAATACAAGGTTCCTTATATAAGATTTCCTACATTTATCAAAAAAAAAAATTCTATAAGAAAGTCAAATTAAATTTTTATGAGCGTTTGAAATTCAAATTTTTACAACATTGAATATTCACTCGATTTCTCATGTGGCGATTTCCTTATTTTGTTGTAAT